GCCTATACCCACACAGTCAAACAACCTAGTACCCATTTGATCTTTCCACCTGGCCATCTCAAAAGTTACTCCTAGATATCAGTTACTACGCTTAAAAAGTACTTACCTATACCACAGCAAAAAAATAATCACAAAAACAAGTAATATTGGCGTTAGTGAAGGGCACTTCTGATATTTTTCTAGGGTCTCTCTTTTAGCCCTTCTCAATATGTTAATGCAGAGGTCACAGTGCATTGATTAGTTTGTGGTTAGCTTCATCATCTGCATTAATTGATGTATAAACAACTGCACCGACAGCTAAAGAAGGGAACCACCGAGTTAATCTGGAGATTAGCTCTGTACGGACTTTAATATAATGAACAACGAAGAACGGGCTTTAAGGAACAGTTGTGTGGATCAGCAAGTTACAGCTCCCCAAGCAGTACTAATTAATGCCGACAATAATTAGCATGGTAAGTTGAGACAAATCTCACTTTCTGGAATTAATTCAAAAGAACTTTCTTGAGGGAAACTCATCGAAAACCTTTCTTGTATGAATTTAGAATATTACAACTTGATGAAATAGTTCCCTGCACAATCTCGTCAACCATAACATGGCGACATAAAAGTTTGTGGCATGATTCTCATGTAATATTCGACGCAATGGTCTTGTTAACGAGTTTTTTTAAAATACTTTTTAAAAGAAAAATGAGAAACCGACTGCACCGTTATTCTTGAATGGGTGACGATGCAGTGACCGTGCATTGCAGATTTCCCCAAGATTTGTCCGGTTTCCTTGGAAAATCAAGAATCCATGCAAATCACACCTAGTGGGATTTCCCTTAAATAACAAAAATTTGGCCTAAGTAAAAAGGGAGAAAAACCTAAAATTAGTAATGACCAAGATCCAAATAATCACAAATATATGAAACAATATACGTTTGATCTAAATCTTATATTACATTTTAAGGTAACATTTCTTTTTCTTTTTTTTTATGCTTACATCAATCTTCTACCATATTTTAAAGAATTATACTTTCATTACTATAATTCCTTTCATACGAGTTTAAAACTTTAATGCCAAATATAACAACTATAATACGTTGTTCAAGTACAATATACTTGTGTGTGATTAAAGTTAATAAGGGACTAGTAAACTTTCTTTTTCGAAAAGCGAGACTAACTTGTTTTTCATTGCGTAGATGAAAGAACATAGTCGTTGGGTATGTGATATGAAAACATTAAAAATTCAGAGTCCACCATTTATATTTTCATACTTGATGTTTACTTTTCTCGTTTATCAATTCTCAAATGTTATTTTTATTTTTCTCTTTTTTTTCCGCAATATTGACCTATAAATTATGAGATATGAATGCCAAGATGTTTGATGCTCGCCTTTGATATTTAAAGGAGTTTGAAACCGATGCTCTGTTTGCCAATTCTATGCAAAAACAGAACGTGGTCCTGCTGGTATCTTTATTAATTGCCTGTAACGGTGCCGTTATGCTAGCCAAATCCTTGTTAAAACATACTTTGCCAGAATTATTTCTATTTCGAAAATTTTTATTACACATAATATAACAAAAACAGTGTGTGAAACAGTTGTAAGTTCCCCTTGAGTATAGTTAGTTCCACAATTGTTGTGGAAGCACTTATTAAGAAAATCCTCGACATGACAGCAGATTTGCAGCTATAAGTTCTGACTGACATTAAAAATTATTGAAAACTAAGTAGGGTATATCCTTCAATGGACATTTAGAGGTTAGAGATGTCGCGGGTTGTTTCTGAGACACTGATTAAACATATTCTGTCGAGAAAATTTTAATTTTAAAATGCTGATTAAATTTCGCGCAAAACTTTTAATGCATTGAAATTATAGTGTTCCTTGATTACATACTTCACGTGTTTCCATGACGTGCACTTTAACTAAATTCCTTTACAAATATGGGCATACTTAATTGATATCGAGGGAAAGACATTCAAAATCATCATTTTACGATAACATCCTCAGGACTTGGGCCGAGATAATACTTACGTAGAAATTAGTGTCAATGCTCAAGATTCAACATTAGATAAGAAAAATCTTATGGAGTGATTCATAAGTAAACGAACCAATCTTAGGTACAAGAAAATGTGAAAAATCAAGAATTACCCAACATTGTATTTTATTAAACCCTTTGTTACAAACACCAAAACAATTCTCTGACCGTCCCTCCCATCATTCATGATATCACATCTCAGTCCAAGTCACTGCACTACACCGTACACGTGGCCAAATGTATCGTCACCAATCGTCAGTACTACCACCACCACCACCATCATGATTTTGCAGTTAGATACCTATGAAGAGGAGCTTTATCATCCAATCTTCACACATCACTTCTCGCGTCCCTTGACGTATCCCGCAGCATAGAAATTATTGAATGTGCAGTTTGGGCTGTAGTCAGCCACCGAAGAAGACATGAAATCTTTTGGCCCCATCTCTCTCTCTCTTCCAAGACTTCCAATTATTTAACAATGATGATATGAGATTTCTTTCTGGTTTGCCCTTTCTTGGGTCTAGAGAGACAGAGAGACAGAGAGAGAGAGGGAGAGGGAGAGAGATAAATGAGGTGTCGTGGGAGAAATGGGACATTGGACAAATGAGATGGAGATTGGGACAAGCCCTTGATGAGCTAGAGAGATGAATATGCAAGAGAGCGAGAGGGCATTGAATGAGGGGAAGAAAAAGATTCGAGATGAGGACACAATCTCCGCATGCAATAGTGATAGCTCGTACACAAGAGAGAGAGGTGATTATTTCATTCTTATTACCACTATGTGACGCAAAGAGGGACGATAACTTGTTGCGTGGAACATAGAGGGGACAATGAATAATTAATGAGGAGGACTCAAAAGGAAGAAAAAAGATACATCCTCTACAACGATACAATAGTATTGGAGAAATGTAAACCAACACCGAAGGACCTGTTTAAGGTAACTTTCTCGTTAAAACGGAGATAGTTAGAGGTTCATGTTTTCCTCCGGATCGGTCTTCTAATTGGTGGGTTATACAAGCCCGGACATTGTTCGTGTTTATTTTTAGTTAAGTTTGCATGCGGGCGATGTCTATATTTCTAACCCGTCAATCAGAGACCCGATTCGAGGAAGCTTTTATTTCGATTAGGAATTGAGAAAAACAAAAGCATAAGACTGTATATTGGAGAGAAGGATGGAGAGTATCCTCTCTCAATTTCTTGGTCACAACAAAAACCCCAGACACTTTATTGTGTTTCTTGGCCAAGAAATGCAAATGAGATACGATGCAATTTCATAGAAAGGACATATATTGTGCACTCGAGGAAGAAAATGCCACCGAATCTTCGACCAGAGGACACGAGGACCCCATGGCCGAAGCGGGGCATCCAAGTTCAACAAGTTTTGGGTCAAGACTCCTAATAACAGGGAGAAATCCTAACTTCAAACTCGACGGACGTACAAAACCACAATTGTCTATCTTATCCTAACAATGTTGTTTATCTCTTGTTCATGGGGAGAAGGAGAGCAAATGCGCCAAATCACAAGGGGGGTTAGCGCAATTTTACCCATGTAAGTTAGGACGAGATGTGACGATTGTCTCCTTGTGTGTGAAACATACATGGAACACAAAAGCGTGTGGGTGAATTGAAATTGAAATAGTTGGACAAAAGAAGATGTTGGAAAAGGGCCAATGCAACGTACGACCTGGTCACACAGAGAGAGAGAGAGAGAGAGAGAGAGAGAGAGAGAGAGAGAGAGAGAGAGAGAGGTGAATTTCTAGTTCGATTTTGTGGCTCTTGGCGAAACGAAATGTATTTCGAAATTCTGCTAGAATTTCATTTTTTGTTCCTTGTTGGGCGAGAGAGAGAGAGAGAGAGAGAGGAGAATAGACAAAGGAAAAGGCAAAGGAGCAGAGGGGGGGAAGAGGGGCAGTTCGGATTGAGAATAATGGTGAAAGGCACGAGACATGAGAAGACCCATTAATATGAGAGAGAGAGAGAGAGTGATGAGCTGCTTATGCTGTATTTCTCCATGGCCATTGCTCTTCATTATTCACTCCTCCCTCTCTCTCTCTCTCTCTCTCTCTCTCTCTCTCTCTCTCTCTCTCAATCATCGTCACGTCGTTTTTGGTTCGCTCCTCCCGATGATCCCCCCCAGAATTCCACGCCTTCTTCCCTTCTTCCTCTCTCTCTCTCTCTCTTAAACGACAGCTCTATGGCCTAGTCAACCTCACGTATGTCCGTATGCTACATGCTCTCTCGCGTTCTTGAGTTTGAACCGTGCTTTGCTTGCCTTTGCACTAACTTCTACTACTCAAAGACCCGTAAAACACCCACGATGTGGAATGAAATCTTAAGGCGCTTCCCGATAGCATGCGAGTCTCGCGAACTGCCGTCTTGCTTAATCCGATAGCGCATGCAAGTTGGGTTCGCACGTGTTAACAACGCTCGAGATGTCGTCTCTATCGTTCTTTTATCAATTATGTTGTAGGTGTATTGTTTCATCTACACAAACCTATTCAAATTAATTAGGCGTGTTTCTTTAAGGTCGTTATGATTTTGAGTAATATCGACTTTCATAGATCTGGATAATTGCTAAAATTCATTCATAAAGATCCAGAGTAATCAAAACATTTCGTTTTGGTGGAAACATAAGGAAAAAATAATGGAGTGATCATGGTATATACTATTGTTCTAAAATATTTTTACATAAACGGTTTGTGTATATTTTTTTATAGAGAGAAGGTACGAGCACTTTTTTTTCAAAAAATAAAATTTTTCCCACTTTCATCTTTCCTATGTTAGACCTACTAGCTACACCTACACACAAATCATTCTCTCTCTCTCTCTCTCTCTCTCTCTCTCTCTCTCTCTCTCGGTCCCGTCTTCTATCTCTATCGAGTGATCAATCCCCTTCCCTGAAAATCTGAGAAACTCAAATTCCTCTCTCTCTCTCTCTCTCTCTCTCTCTCTCTCTCTCTCTCTCTCTCTCTCTCTCTCTCTCTCTCAACTGTTCAACCCGAACTAACCTCACCCCATTTTATTTATATATATGTATAATATAATATAGCTGCAGAAACCCTCATCGTCTCTCTTCGGTAGGCATATCAACACATTCCATATTTGAACCATATCTACTTTTTCAAAGTGAGGGCTCTACCATTTCTGTTTCTTGAACTCCATCCCCCTTTACAAAGCTTTGGACCCTCCATACCCTTCCATTCCTCTTCTTGACTCCAGCCCATAACAATTCGCGTCACTCCCTCCTCACAACCACAAGAACCATCCTTTTCCTCTTTCTCTCTCGCTGTCTTCTCTCTCGTGTGCAACGTAAAGCTTTGAGTTTCCGAAAAACCCCAGCGTTTTAGCACTAAACTGGTGCTGTCAAGAAACATGTGGATGATGGGTTACAATGACGATGGAGATCTGTACATGGCCGATGCCTTCAACGGCCGAAAGCTTCGCCCCCTCATGCCAAGGCCGGTCGCCAATCCTTCCCCTAATAACGGTGGCGGCACCACCGCCGCGCCGCCTTGCGTGAGCCGTATCCACGGTGCCACCGACATTTTTGCACTGAATCACCATCTTGGTATACATTGATCTCTTCTTCTCTTTCGTGTTTTTTAGTTTTTCATAGGATAAGGAAGCATGTAATCTTATATTCATGCTTTTGACTACATATGTAATATTCATCATTAGTTCCAGTTCATTTTCCTCCTTTTCGATGAATAAAGTCATTTCCTCAACTAGAACCACTTGCATTTTTGCAGCGACTATGGCTGAGCAAAGCAAAAGAGAGTTCAATTCGCCACAGGTCGTGGTGAGCTCGCGGTGGAACCCCACGCCGGAGCAGCTACGGACCCTCGAGGAGCTATACCGGCGTGGGACCCGGACCCCCAACGCAGACCAAATCCAGCAGATCACCGCGCAGCTCCGCCGGTATGGCAAGATCGAGGGGAAGAATGTCTTCTACTGGTTCCAAAACCACAAGGCCAGGGAACGACAGAAGCGCCGCCGCCAGATGGAGGCAGGCCCCGAGGAGATGAACCGCGATGCCGAAGAATCAGAAAGGAAAGAAACAGGTGACACTACACTCCCACATTGGGCTCTTGAGTTATAAAGGTCAAAGGGTCATTGCACATGCAGTTCATTTTCACGTTCTTTTCTATTTCTCATAACATTGGAGTTCACTTCATGCTCGTTGTTATCATCGATCTATCATGAGAAACCTGGGATTTTTTTTCCTGGGTGAGGGTCACATGGAATGTGGTAGACAGGACTAGAAGAGAGAATTATGGGATTGTTTTAGTCGTATTAGAGTCTTCTGATATATTGCTTTTTGTGATATATTCTGTTTGTTGGGTTGTGGTGTAAAGTTGTGTTCTTTCTGTTTTTCTTTTTGTCTACAGGCGCGAGTAGGACAGTGCTTGAAGTTGAACAGACCAAGAACAACTGGGCACCCCCTATAAACTGCAGTACACTAGCAGAGGTCCTTAATTTCCCTTTTTCTTTTTGAGTACTTTCTTTGTTTATAGTCATATACTTCTTTCATACAGCTTATATAGACTGCTCAAAAAGACCATTCTCTTTTGAATTTGGAACATACTTTTTCGTAATCTTGGTATCTCAAATGGGGTTCTATGAAAAGCAATTAAGGGTCACTTATGTTCATATGATTAGGAGATAATTCAAACTGGGACATTCATGACAGAAAGAAGATGAGAAAAAGAGCATTTGTTTTAAAGGATAATTCAGAGAAGAGAAGGTGAAAAAGAGAAGCTTTTTTTGTGTTTGTTGGGAAATGAAAAGAGTCGTCCAAAAGCTGCAATCCTTCCTTTCTGTCGGGGCAGCTGTTATGAAACTTAGCTGGGCTTTTCTGGGGGTCTGTGCTTCATTCATTCACTAATTCGGCTCATCTCATTCTTGGTCTCTCTCTCTCTCTCTCTCTCTCTCTCTCTCTCTCTCTCTCTCTCTCTCTCTCTCTCTCTCTCTCTGATACAAGCACGCCTAATGATACACAGACATGTACACATTTTCCTCTCTCTCTCTCTCTCTCTCTGCAGATCTTGATACAATGCAAGTCTAGGAAAATGAAATACACTTGATATCTTTTCCTTTACCCAGAAGAGAAAAGCAGAACATATTCTATTCAAACTCCAAGATAAGTCAAACCCATGGTGCAGCGATTGTCCCTCCTTTTTCTTCCCTGACGATTGTGTGATTATTTTCTCTAAAGGAATGTTGCGATATTATGCATAATATGACACAGATATAGAGTGAGTACATAAAACGATGCGACAGAGTGTGAGCGCGCGAACGTCTGAAGCATCACTAGTTAACTGGATATACCGGTTTCATAAGTCAATCTCAGTGTAGTTAACGTCACTGTTTAAGATATGATGAAAGCTTATATATCATTTGGACATACGTTAGAAGATGGAGCAAAATACTTAGTAAAAGTTGGAAAAGACAGTGCAAACCTAGCTGTAGCTAGTTAGTACGATCTTCTGGCCTCTCATGTCCAATGTCAAGGTCCTTTCTGGGACTCGAAGGGTACACTCACTTAGATTCCTAGGTGGGGGCAAATCATGAGTAGTCTCCTAATTTCTGTCATTTCAAATTTGTTGTTGGCTGCACGTAGTTTCCAAGAATTGTCATGTGTTTTGGCCCAATTGTTTCTTGAAAACTAAGAAATTTCTCCTCGTGAAATTTTTTTGTTTAGCAGGAATCTGCAGGAGCTACGACTCAAAAGGCACCAAAAGCAGGATCAGCAGCAACTTTGGCAGAGCGTAGAACGAGATCGTCGTCGTCTGATCAGTGGATCAAATTCGACGATGGAGAATTTCAGTGGACGAGAAGGCACAGCAACAGCAACCTTTTGGAGAGGAATGCCACGTGGCAGATGGTGCAGCTGCCTCCTTGTCCTCATCCCACCCACCTCATAAATACCACAACCGCGTCCACAGTCACACTGCCTGCCGCCCCAACCCTCCACCCTGCTGCTAGGGCATCGATGGACCCTAACAAGATCATCAAGGCTCATGACCTCAGGAGCTTCTTCGTGTCCTCGCCTTTCCGAGACAGCCCCGAATTGGCCAATGGCGGCGGCCGAGGGTGCGAGGAGGACTCACAAACCCTCCAATTGTTCCCTCTCCGCAGTGGCGATGACGTCGACGAGAAGAGCGCGAGCCCTCCGCCCCATCAGCACCAGTTCTTCGAGTTCCTACCTTTGAAGAACTAGCTAGGGCATGTTGCATGGATTTGTGGTTCTAAGAGCCTGTGCTCAGATCATGATGATACCATGGTGTATTGTGTTAGGGTTTCATTTCTTTAGCAATTATTATTATGTATGTTATGAAGATCTCTGGTTGGGAAAGTGGGTAGAGCCAAAAATGATGTTGGCCTTTTGACGCTTTACATTTAATGGGAGATGAAATGGAATATAGGATGTGTTTGGGGGTGTAAGAGGTAGGTAAATATTGCCTTAAAGTGAAATCGACCCATGTTGGTTCTTTCAATGAAAAATGAACTATATTCAATGAGAATTTGACTGAGATGTATGTTAACTTTGACAGGGTCATATGTTGTCCCAGAGAGAGAGAGAGAGAGAGAGAGAGAGAGAGAGTATTTGGGGAATTATGTTTGAGAGATTGATGTGGAAAGGAAGTGTCTGAAATGGGGAATTAGGATGTGAGAGATTCATGTGATATTGAAGTGACTAAGGAAAAGGGTTGGTCTGCTTCGTGGGTGTAGAGCTTTGTTCTTCATTGCATTTCAAGAAAAGAGTGGCATGTTGTACATCAATTATTGCTGAAACGAGTGTCTGTGCAAATGGAAACGGAAAACAAGAAAAGGGACAAATTTCTTCCCCAGTGAAAAGGACCATGAAGTCGAAGCTTCACTACTATATAAATTGATGATTATGTCTTATTCGCTCAGAATCCAACCAACCATCGAGGATAGACAAATCTGAAATAGGTGAAGCCTTCACGCACTGTTTGGGTTGGACATTGTAACGTGATACCAGAGTCGAGTTCTACCTCAACTCATCAAATTCCACGTGCCATGTCTAATCCCACTTGCACATGAAATAGGGTGTTAGCGTATCGCACGTCTATTATTTATACGGTTCATATACTCTTTATATATTTGGTCTCCCTCAGAATTTCAGGTATCATTCCTAATCTGACTTACACGTGAGAAAGGGTGTTAAAGCATCACACATCTCGCTATAGTCTCCTTCCACATAAAAGTTTATACTTTTAGGCTGGATATTCTAAGCCAGAAGGAATTAAACTTGTTAATTTTGTATAAGGGCTCCGGATATGTTGAAATTAAGATATCCAAATTAATTGTTGAATAAAACGTTGGACTGATTTTTTTAGGAAGTGCTGACTATTGTGATTTTTGACTCCGTGTTGTGTTTACAATGAGAGAGCTAGGGTTTTGTTGTCGGTGCACCTTGCATTTGCTCATCTAATATTTATGATCTTAAGCATGAGCAAATGAGTTGGGATTTCGCTTGCTTCTTCGTACAAAACCATAAGACCCAAGTCATGCCATAATGCTTCTTCTTCAAAAGGATTGTGTGAACTAATCAAAAAAAGATGTCTTTAGAATTCTTCAAATGATAAGATTTTGCCCTTAAACTGGTGCATCGAGGACTTAAGCTTTTTTCCAACAGACCTTATTGCGCGGAGCGAAATTGGACGAAAAAAGGAGTGGTTTTTTTTGCGAACGTGCCATAGTGAAAAAAATATAGTGATTACTAGCTACCTCGACTCGAGAAGGTGTAAAACGATAGCCAACAATATGAAATATCCCATTTCATCTTTAGTAAATTTTAAAGCCATGGTAACATGCGTTACCAACTCCTAAATAGGATCAAATTGAGCAAAACTCTCGGGTCATGTAACTCGACATGCGTCCATGCGGATTAATTTTCGAAAAGAGTTGGGTTGTCTTAGGTGGAATCGAAAATTTGATGTAGACCAGTTGGAGCTGGAATAGAACACTAGTTATCTTAGTAACTAAAATTAAACTAAATGCTTACATGGACATAAAATGCCAAACATTTCTATAACCCTAGACTAGACTACTTGTGGAAATATAAAATCACTTTATATGATGCAGAAACACATATGAATAAATAGGTCATACATATTTTCATCTTTGGCAATAAATTGGGCGAGGGAAAAAATTTTAGGGTTTGAGAAGAGAATTGACAGCGGTAGACCTCAGACTGCTAAGGAAAGTGACCATACCTAAGACTGCTCCACATATGGGGACAGGCCCAATCGATGGACCAGAAGTTTCCTCTTACACGAAATGCTCACAAGACATCATGTGACCCCTCCCTCTCTCTCCTCCCCCCACCCAACCCACACCACCCCCCCCCGCCCCCTCTCTTCTCTCCCCTTCGCTCTTGTAATAATTTGGTAATTATAAATGAAATTCCATTTCCCAATAATAAAGAATTACAAAAGAAAAATCAATGAATTTTGACATGGGTTGATTTTCCTCTTTCTTTCTTCCCCATCTATATCATGAGGTCATCATAGATTCTGTCTCTCTCTCTCAATCCTTGTCTGACAGTGCAGTTAATGTCTTGGGTGAATACTTTTGTCTCGATCTTATTCATAATTTTTTTCCCCGTCACTGTCTTTAGTAGACATAAACCCATGCTCTTCTCTTTTTATTTTTATTTTTCAATTTTTGGGTGTGGCCAGAAATTTTATGTGAATGATAGAGAGTTCAAGGTAAAAAAAAAACGTGCAATCTGCTGGTGGAATGATTTTGTGTTGAAAGGAATCGTCAAAGGTGTTATTTTGGATGTAAGTATCTTCCAATCATGCTAGGCAAGGAAATTCCTGGTATGCATACGTACAAATTTTAATTGTGATTAGTGACGATTTGATAGGGAATAATACGAGATCATGAGTTAAGATGGAATAATTCCGAGACCCCTAAATAGGTTTTCGGGTTCAACCAAAATATTTACATATTGCCTCGGATACTTAGAATTGAACGATGGGTCATGAGAGACGGCTCAAGATTGCCTAGATAAAGAAAATTGGCCAACTTGAGGTAAAGTTGGATGTGTAACTATTATCCATTTGATTGACCGTAAGCATCGCCATACACATTTGATCTGTATGTATTGATGATCGCAATGATTGTTCGATCACTACTAGCAACATTATGATGATAGAGAATTATGAATACCTTTCGTGAGAGAGGAATCGGTGCGCTAATGCTCTTGCAAATCATGCAGCTTAGAAAATGCTTGTTCTTTCATGTTATTGCTATTTCATGTGGATCTTACGTGAACTTGTGTGGCATGTTAGGTATGTAACATCCGAACCTCTTTCTATTTAATCCAATTCTCCTTTTAAAAGCCAAAAGAAGAAGCCTACGAAAACACAAATAAATTTTTTCTTCAACCAGAAATTTTTTCTTGAAAAAAAGAAGAGAGCAAAGGGTATAGTATCTAGGTGCTGCTGCCGCCACCGCCGCCGTCCCTCCCGCCACTTGGTATAGTTTTTATTTTTTTGCAGGTATGTGTCATCAATAAAGAAATTTCGTGCAAATTTTTTATGTCTTAGTTTGATTCTTTTTCCTTCTTTTCTATGTTTATTCTACTCTCGGTTGGATTGAGAAACCAATTTTCACAACTAAAACCTATGGTATGAAGGTCAGTGCTTTTCTTTTTTCTTATAATCCAGGGGCACGGGCGTGGAAAGCTGACTGCTCGAAAGCTCATGGAACATCCTGCAAGCCCAATGAACGGTTAAGTGCAAGCATTTGGCCGATGCAAGTGACCCCGACCAAGAACGAAATGCATGCATTTTGTGGGATTCGAATTAGTGACGTCTAAATCTAGAGTTAGAAATCTCCCCATGCTCCAACCAACCGTGCCCCTAAGAAGTTGAACGTAATTCGTGCCTAATGTTCTTAAGACATAAGAACAAATACTCAAAATTGAATCGAAGAGCAATGTAGCTTATTGTGTTGTGTACGAAAAGAAATTTTGTAGTCGTTCAGAAACTTTGCAATATATGTATCCAGAAATTGCAAACAAGACTTTGCTTTATTTATTTTGCGAAAAATGAATGATTTGTAAAATATTTTCCAAAAAACAATAATCGCTCAAAATAATTAGACAATGAAAATATTTTTCATTCATCCGTTTTTGCAGGTGACGCAAGTGATTATTTTTAGGAACATTTTTTCAAAATCATTTATTTTTTGCAAAACAAACGCACTCTCTAATAGCAATTTGTAAACGAGAATTCAAATGAATTGGGTTATATTCAAACATTCAATAAGAATTTGTCGCGTTACTTAATGCATCAATTTGATTAATCTATGCATCGATCTCAATATATCTAGCATTTTTGAATTAAAAATACGCTTCACAAGTGGCTAATGTTTCTCGTTCGTGTCATTTTAGGGGTAAAAGAAACCGAGCTCTCCTTCTCACATTCATCTCGAATCAAACATGTTCAAATCAATTGTTGGGGGTGTGATGCTCACTCAAATACTTCACTAGATCTTACCCAACTCAAATAAGATGAGCAATCCCCATCCTGTGACTTGTTAGGGGCTGTTTGGTAACCGGCCAAATAGTGTTTGATTTTATTTTTTTGTTCCCAAAAACAAAAAATGAACAGAAATACGTTTGGTAAATTTTTTGTTCCCGGGAACAAATTTATTCCCAGGAATAGTTTTTAAACATAATTAAGGGTCTGTTTAGTAACGTTTTTGTTCCCATAAATAATTTCTGTTCAGAAATAGTTTTTTCTATTTCTATTTCTATTCCCTTGACAAGTTTCTGAGCAAAAAAACACGTTTAGTAAATGCATAAAATTTCTATTCCCGGAGTAGAAAAAGAACATAAATGCATTTGGTAGGACACTAAAAATTTCTACTCCCAATTTTTTCATTTAATTATAAAATTGTCGGTGGAGACTTAACAATTCATGTTTGGATAAAATTGGACTAGAAATAAAATAAGAATATATTATGATATAGAATTGGATAGCCTTGATATAATCATAAAGAAAATTACTCCTTATAGACAAAGCAAATACCGATTAGTGGTCGAGAAAATTGCAATTTAGGGTATAGGAGTTTAGGATTTGGAGTTAGGGGTTAGGGTTTAAGGATTTCAGTTTTGAGGTTTAGGGTTTAGTGGTTTAGGATTTGAGGTTTAGTGGTATTGGGGTTTGGGATTTACGGTTTAAGATTTACAGTTTAGGGTTTGGGGTTTATGGTTTATGATCCAGGGTTTTGTGGTTTAGTGTTTTATGATGTAAGGTTTGGAATTACGATTTTAGGGTTTAAGTTTTAAGGTTTTGGGTTTGGAGTTTTGGGGTTTGGGGTTTAGTGTTTCGGGTTTTAGGTTTGGGATTTTAGGGTTTGGGTTTTTGGGTTTAGGATTTGGGGTTTAGAAGGTTTAGGGTTTAGGTTTAAGGTTTTAGGGATTTGGGGTTTTAGGGTTTAGGGTTTCGGGTTTTTTATTTTAGTTTTATGGGTTTTAAGG